TGTGCCACCATGCCTGGCTGACGTTCTATTTTTGAGCTGCATGAAGCTATGGGCAGAGTCACTCTTTTACTTGGGGAGCACTGTTACTTAGCTCCATTTCACAGACTAGACCAGTGAGGTCCTGAGATGAAGGAAGCGGCCCAAGCTCACAGAAGGAGCCAGACTTTGAACTGGAGCAAGTTGAGCCTAAACCTGTGCTGTCCACCCCCCAAAAGGGTGTGAATACGTTTAAACCGAGGCCATTGGAACCCCCAAACACATCCACTCAGTGCACACCAAAATGCTTGCCCCTCTCCTTGGTTTCTCCTTGTGACAGGGAACTCATTACCTCAAAAGGGGCATACTGTCTTTTCTTTGCCCATTGCTTCTATCTGAGCTACTCCAGGCATGGTGAAGCCCCCTGGTATGACCAGAAAATTGGAGCACAGCCCGGGAAGGACAAGGAGACCCCAAAACAGCTGGGAGGTTGGGGCTGGGCTGAAGGGCTGGGCTCCCTTGGGCCCCTTCAGGGGACACTCCACACCCTATTGTGATCCGTGTCCATGTCATCCCACATGCCTGCCAGCAGGGGGTCCAAGAGACAGAGCAGGCAGAAGTGGCTGTCCCTTGGCTCAGACTGGGTTGCTGCTCTTACTCTGCCAGCCCCCAACCCCACCCCCGACCCAGGACCCTGAGACCATGTCAGGAGTCCCTTGTGAGACACCAGGGCTCCCTGCAGTGGGCAGCCTCATACCCACCCTGGCTGGAAGCTGTCATCAGCTCAAAGGTCAAGGGACAGCCACCCAGGCCACCCAGGAGGGTGAGTGGGACCCCAAAATGGGGGGGGTGTGCATGTATGTGTGTGCGTGAGCGCGCACACACATCCATGTGTGCTCGTGTCTTCAGATGGCATCCACCGTGTTCACTGTCAGCACTGAGCCACCCCAGGGCCTTGGGCACTCCTGACACTTCTGGTCTGGGTGTGGAAGTCCATGCGGACGGCCCCGGAGTCCTGGCCGCTGAGCTCCAGTTCAGCCCTTTTCATCTCACTTTGAGCCAAAAGCTCACTAAGTTGCCAAGTGTCTCAGGCTGTGCTCATCAAACTTTCGATTCTCCCACCTCACCTCCCAAGTGGATAGGAGTCCAGGCCTGCATCACAACACCTACCTGGCATGGGTGTTTGTTTGTTTAGAAGACAGGGTCTCACTATGTAGTTCAGGCTGGCCTCCAACTCACTATGTACTCACAGCGATCCTCCTGCCTCGGCCTCCTGAGTGCTGGGATTCTCTTTTTTTTTTCTCTACTGCATATTGAACCCTGGGTCCTGGACATGCTAGGCATGTGCCCCGCAGCTGAGCAACCCCAGAAGCACTGGCTAATTTTCCTTTTCCTTTTGAAATTTTTTAAATTTTTATTTGCATTAATATGTGTTTGTAGGGGCCGGGGAGATGGCTCAGTGGAATAAGTGCTTCCCTGGTAAGCGCAAGGGCCTGAGTTCAATCCCCAGTTCCACCAAAAAACAAACACACATGGCTTTGTAGAACATAGGGTTACACTCCCCAGGGGTGCCTCACACACCCTGCTCTCCTCCATGCCTTTCTCCTGCTTTCCCTCCCTCGGCCCCCTTTGCCTTTGGAGCAGACCTACCTCCTTAGTCCCTATTATCTTTTGTTTTGCTCTTTAAGTTATATATTTTTGCTCTTCACTATTTATATAGTGAAGTCGTCTCATTCTTTTTTTTTTGGGGGGGGGAACCAGGGATTAAACTCAGGCCCTTGTGCTTACCAGGGACTTTTGCTGCTGGACTATCTCCCCTGCCGTATCTCTTTTCTTTAGGCTGTTATAAAAGGCCCCTAATGCCCAGTACAGCGATGCGTGAATGTAATCCCAGCAAAAATAAATAAATCCCTAAAAGCTTTGTGTTTTATAAGGTATTAAATGTTGCCATATTCAAACTTAAAACTGAAAGGTTTTTGTTTGTTTTGGCCAGCTCAGCCCACACTGGAGTAGGGGGCGCAGCATGTGGTGCTGGGGACCAAACTGTAGCCCCTTCACTTTGCCTAAGCTTGCCTAAACAGGCACTTTAGACCACTGAGCTATCTCGCCAGCCCATTTTTTTTTTCCCAGAACTAGAGATTGAACTCAGGCCCTTGTGCTTGCCAGGCAAGCACTTATTCTACTGAGCCATCTCCCCGGCCCCTGTTTGGGTTTTTTTTTAAATAATTTTTTTTTTTTTCTCAAAGTTTTATTGACAAACAGATAGCCGTGAGACAGTTTCAAATCATATCGGAAGGACAGTTTCAACAAATAATACACTGCATATATTCTTCTTAGTGGTTAATTGCTGTACAAGATGCGGACTTGTGATCCCATT